CGTCGGGTGCCTGTCGTAACACATTTTCTCCATTTGGGGAAATACAGTACTTTAAGTCTGATGTGCCTGCATTGCCAAGAAGATGATGTAAATATAAGCCATTCACATAGCCCTAAGGCAGATGATTTCTTCATTAAGGTCTCTTCTCCAGGGGAATTTACAGGAAAATTGAGACAATTACAATAGTGTTATGAAGCTGATGTGCCTGATTCAACAAATGTTGAATCCAAATGTGGAGGCTCTCTTTCAATAATTAAAAGGCTCTTAATTGTAGTAGCTTCATCCCTTTCCAGCAAGGGGCTTCTGAATTGAGCTGACAGATGGGCTTTGCTACTCTTGAATAGAATAGCCTCAGGTTGTACGTGAGTTCCCTTGGCAGTCCTAGGTGTCCCGACCAGTGATATTGGCTAATAGGTTGCCAGTTAATTAAAATGAAAAGCTCCCAAAATCATTGTAGGGAAATGATACTTGTACTTGGTGCTGTCATTGGAGATTCTCCCGTCTGCTTTTGCTCTGGGCAGTAGTGGGCAGTGAGGAATGAGGTGACTGGGAAGTTCCTTCCATCACAGAGCTCGAGGTGCACTGCCCCTGCTGGGCTGCAAGTCTGGGCACACCCTGAACTGTTCTCAGCTCCCCTGTGAAGCTCGTTTTTCTCCATCCTGCTTTTGTTCACCTGGCTTTTGCATCTCCTTTGCTTGGGGGAAGTGTGGTTTTGCCAGTGGCCTCGGGTGCCTTTGTATAGACCTGTGTGCCCAGTAGAATTAAGCAGAAGTGTTTGTAGGGATAGAGTTTCACATTGATGCAGTACCTACTTTGTTCCTTTAGGAAGGGTGGAAGTAGAAGGGAAACCAAAACTAAGCCTGAAAAAGGAGGAAAAAGAAAGACGACGTCATAAATCTTACCTAATTGAACAAATTAGGATGGAATAGAAAACTCCCCCAAAGTACTCACTGCAGAGGAAAGCAGCTGAAAAGTTTCATTTCATCTATCAGAGGGAACTTTTCTGACTCTATCCAAGAAAGCTGTACTGTGTCGTTTGTGGGAGAGAGCAGTTATTCCTGTGAGAGGAGATCTCTACCACATTCAACTTCTCATTTTTCCTCAGTGAACCAACCCTGAAACTTCTGCTTCTGGAGAACTTCTCGTTGGTGCTCATCACGCTTGAGTACTAAAAGAGGTGTGACTCCAAAGTAGGGATTGCTTCTGTTGTCAGGAAAGATGTTTTCATTACAGTTAAGGAGCTCTATGGGAAAAGTGGACAAAATGATCAGCTCTAAACCTTCCATGAGTTCTGTCCGAAAATAAGCTGAGATGAAGACTTCCAGCCCGCCTCCAGATTTGCTGTGCAGCTCTCCTGGGTTCATACTTCCTTATGATCAGATCTGTCTACTTTATCGACACATCAACCAGGTGGTGTTCTGTGTGCCAAAATTGCATTAATTCACTGCCTAATTTACACACCCCACATGAAATGATCTATTTCCTATGTTTCGGGATGCAGTGAAAATGAGTTGTTTTTCTTGCAGTGTTAACATGTTGCGTGTTTTGTTTGTTATTTTAAAATGAAGTTGATTGCTGGAAGAGCCATAGCTTCTGGCAGGCTGCTTTGGCTCATGTTGCAGAATGTACACAACATTAAGTAATGTAATTATTCGGAGGGTGCTCCTGGCAAATTTATGAACGTATAGTAATCCTGGTGTTTCAAAGAAAATATTTCTTGATAAACACTTTTTTTTTTTTTTTTTTTTTTTTTTAGTGTTTGCAGAAAGGGAAGTTTGTGTGGGAGGGTAGTTTTTTATGTGGTAATTAATTTGACTTTTATTTTTTTTGTCATAGCATTTGTTGTGAGACAAATAACTGATGGCTAAGAGGAAAGTGTTGTCTGTAGCCCTGGTAGGGGGGTAGCCTTCAGTCTTTTCTTTAGAAAAATGGTAACATGTCTGGTTGGAGTCTTGATGTACTGAGGCTTGGGCGTGAATTGTTTGCATGGAAATACTCATTCAGGTGGCCACATCCACTCGTGATGATAACCCTCATGTTACTAGTGAGTTACTCTGCCCATGTTTTCAAAATCCAACTTCAGCTTTGCTGTCAGAATTTCTATGATAAACTGAAGCAGCTGAGTTTTTCTCCCAGATGTATTAAGGAGGCACGTCAGTAGGCTCAGCTGCCACAGCCTAGAATGCTGCACGCTCATGGAGCTGCTTACACTGGTGATGTGTCTCCATCTTTGGTGATAGTTGGAATGATTTGGGTTAGCTCCAGCTGAAGTGTATACAACTAGTGATTTTCTTAGGAGGCTGCATCTCACCTGTGTCTCCTGTGATTTCTTAGGGGATAAAAGGAAATCTTAATACATTTCAAAGCAATTCCACTTACATTGATATTCATCTGAGCTTGGGGGCGTACAATTAACACCTAATGATTCCTTCCCTCCCCCCAAAAGTGTCTCTTCAGCATCTAATTTAAATTCTATTTCTAAAAGTGAGAAGCACTTAAGCTTTTTTTTTCTTTTTTTTTTTTTCCGGAGCTTTGACTACTACATCCATTTGCTCATAGAAGCATTCTGTCTGTGTGGAGAGAAGCCAGCATGAGATTCTGTCAGCAGCACGACCAAAGCTCCATCTGCCAAGTAGCCGCTGCACAGCGCAATGACCGACGTGCCCCGGGTTTTGGCTCCTTGGGCCTGACATTGCTGGCACTGCTCAGAGCTGTTTATATTTTTAGAAAAGGAACCTAATATTGTTTGAGCTCGTGCGACAGTATTTCGAGAGAATATTGCAGAACCATTTCCTTTAAAACAATAAAATGTTTGTTAGGGTTATAATACATCAAAAATGGTGGCAAGGACACTGGAGACTTTATTATATTGGAATATGTCATAGAATCATAGAATGGCTTGGGTTGAAAAGAACCGCAGTGATCATCTAGCTTCAACCACCCTGCCATGTGCAGGGTCGCCAACCATCAGACCAGGCTGCCCAGAGCCAAATCCAGCCTGGCCTCGAATGCCTCCACAGATGGGGCATCCACAGCCTCCTTGGGCAACCTGTTCCAGTGAACAATGAATATTTAGAAGTTTCTGTGTTGCCAATTCACTGTGACTTCTAGCATTAATCCTGAATTTTGATCCCACTTGAGACATTTAAGATTTTTCTTTTTTAAGGTCTGTGTTTCTTAAAATTATATTCTTCAGTTCTGAGACTTGTTCACAGAAAACATGAACTTCATTGCATGCTCTATTGTAAAATGAAGCTGCTTTCTGGACAGTTTTTTAATTTTTTGGTCATTGTTAAACTCATAGTTGGATTCTAATTTTCAATGCATATTGTTGTTTTTTTCCAACTTTCCATAGCTGTTCAATGCCAAGGATAAAAACCAACTTCAAGTGTTCAATCACTGGGTATCTGTTCAGAATTTGTTTCAAAACCAGCCTGCTCGGGTAGCTAGCAAAAATTCGTGTAGTGTGTGCTGTTATAAAGACCTCATGCTAAATGAGCTGTGAGAGACTTCCTAGCCAAGTGTGATTTTTTAATTAAAACTGGTTTTGTTTTACTCTATTTTTAAACTTAAATTAGCTACTGTATTCTGAAGTATGTGGCTAAGGCAATGCATGGGAGTGATATCCCAAATGTGGTATTACTACTGATTTCAGTGGCAAAAACTAACTGTTCTTTCAGAATCTTTTTTTCTTCATCATGCCATTTTAGCTGATAGGAGACAGACACAAATTACCATATGAAGTGCAGAGAGTGCTGGAAGAGAGGGTATTTGCAAAAATATGATTGAAATTTGCAAAGGGCTGTTTAGAAGAAACCAATTGGTATTGTGGCTTCTGCTAGCTTTGGTTTTTGCGAGGCATTCCATTTGAGACATTTAGCCCTGGAGAGGCAACTCTGTATGTTCTTCACCCTCAAATTGAAGTGACTTAACTGAGGTCACAGCAGAATTTTGTGGTGGAGCAAAAAAGTGAGTTCTTTCTGAGAAATGTGAGTGGGTTGGTGGGTGGGTGTTGTCTTGAAAACAAAGCAAAACATTCTTAAAGGCCTTCCTTGCTTGCTGTGGAAAATGTAGGGGAAGCATCCCTGGCACTGGTTTTCTTTTCCCATTTACTTTTAAAGAGGAATCAGTTTGAAACATTCACTTATGTAAGATTTGTACTTCCTGTAGGTGTTAATGGTAGCTAATGTTGCTGCTTGTCGTCTTCTGTATTTCAGCTTTGTGTATGAAGCAGGTAGTGAGTTTTGCTGTTTTATCCTAAACAGTGAATTACGCTGAAGCAGAAGTCTACTCTCTGCCAAGATCACTTTTGCATTGGGTGTGATATACATCTGACTTGGATAATGGTTAGCTTATAGTGCCAGGAGTTCAGTTGTTTTCTGCTCAGTATGTTAGCTACTGGTTTTATTTTCTCATCACTGAGGGAGCAAAGTATGCGTTTTCATAGAAATTACAGTGTATTAATGGTGATGAACATGCAAACAGGCAGGTGCTTTTGGAAGCTGGTAGAGATCCGGAATCTGTGCTTCTTAGTTTTCAAGCTGATATCGAATTCAAAATAATAGCTTGATTGAAATGTCTTTAACAATCATGCTATGATAATACTACATAAATGAGATTGATTCTGGCCCAAAAGACAAATGCATTTGATCTTTAAGTTTTGGAATAGCATATAATGAAATAAAATGTGTGGGGTACCATTTCACGTGTTTAGCCAAAGGCCTGGAGGGGTTTCGTGCATTACTGGGTGTCTCCATCACTTTGATGTTGGACTCCTTGTAATTCTCCTAAAATAGACTTTCTTGAACAGGAGATACTTGGAAAGTCTTGCATTAATTTGCTTTTGTTTTTGCTCTTAGGCAGTGCCCTGTTACAAACTGAAATCACACATTCCGGAGTGTAAACTGATCATGTTCCCAATGGAAATTTCAGGAATACTTGTGGCTATTTTCAAAATGTGGAAATCTATTTATATTTTTTCCACTTGTTTTTCTTCCTAGGTTTTGGCACTGATTGCATTCATCTGCATAGAGACCATCATGGAATGCTCCCCTTGCGAAGGCCTTTATTTCTTCGAGTTTGTGAGCTGTAGTGCATTGGTGGTTACTGGAGTTCTGTTGCTTATGTTCAGTCTAAATCTTCACACAAGAATACCACAGATCAACTGGAATCTCACTGTAAGTTTGTACAAATCCTTGCTGCTAAAAACTGCAGAACAGTTTTTAAGTTTGGTCTTTGAACTTTACTTTCTACTGCTAATGTTTAAGATTCTGTATGTGTATTCTATGGTGACTGAAGTGTACAGTTTATATTACTTTGAATACTAACAGCAGAATGAGCTTTGCAGTGTAGCAAGATTAAACTATGTTAAATAGAGCTAAAATTCTTTTCTGGTAGAATCTGTTTGGAAGGAAGGACTTACTGCTACTGCCAGCAATTACTGTTTGTTGATGAAGTGGATAAAAATGCAGTCTGTATTTATTTAACTTTGACAGATGTGATATTTACAGTAGCCTGTTGTTCTTTCATAAGCTGTTTTTTATATTAGAATTCTGGTGCTGCATATATTTTCTTACACAGATTAATGTAATCCTTGGGCAAAAATATTGTAAGCTTTCTCTGAAAGTTAAGCGTTGAATTGTTTACACCCCTAACTGTTAAACATCAACTGGCAGTGCTTGATATGTTCTCAAATACAAGGAGCTTTGGGAAAAAAACTGCTGGCAATGCACATTCCTTTTGTACAAGTCTCCATTTCCATGCTATATTATGAGTTAAATGTTCAGATTGAGCTGCATAAACAGATCACAGAATCAACATGAGTTACTCTACCAAAAGATCTGTCATCTTAAGAACAATGTTTATATCAGTTCTTTTGCACAGTACAGATAATACATATACATATGTGCATATGTTCTAATGTATTTTTGTAAGTGGTGCTTTAGACTGCTCACAGTACTTTCCAGGCTTCTGTTGTGATTTTCTTTTAATGTCAGTTGTTATTGTTGCAACTTGCTGTTTGTAAGCCTAAATGACCTCTAAAATGAGAGAGGAATGTGAAAATAGATGATTCTTTGTACCCTAGGGATCCATGTTTTATTGAGAGTATTCTTCCTAGGAGTACTTGTTAAGATTGGGGTAGATTGAGGAATGTGAGTGGCAACTGTAGGTGAGGTAGGTACAGGTGGCTTGCGAACAAAACCAGTGGAGCCACTGGAATTTTAACGGGTTGTCTTGCCTTTTCTCCTTCCTTCTCTTTTGCTGGCATTTTCAGTGTTTATCTTTGTGGCAAGTTGCAGAAAGAAGGTGATTTCTTTCTTTTACTGGCCTGTTTATTAGCCATTGCAGCAACGGCCTTTATAAATGACACAGCTCCGAAATATGCTGGTAGGACGTACGAGGGCATAATTGTTGCATCATTGTCACAGAAGATGGTTTTCCTGGTGTGATAAGAGTGAATACTAGACCCAACTTATGCTGAAAGTAAGCTTGACCAAGATAATTTTTATCAGGAGACTGGTGAGTGGTTTGCCAAGTGACCATGACTGAGCCGGATCACTGGAAGAGTCAAGTTGATGACTTTGCATGCCCTTGCTCCTTTGTGCTGGTAGCTTTTGTTCTGTTGGCTACAAGAACATTGTGACAGTGTGCTGAATTTATGTAAGTACGAAGGCTGACTTTTACTGCCTTTCCTTCCGTATTGCAGGAGATAATCAGTGATATGACTGGGTGGGTCTTTTCAGCCACTGACTTCTTACAGATTTGAGCAACACTTTTGTGGTAATGGAGTGATAAGAATTGCTGCTTTGAGTGCAGCATTGTGTATCTCTGCATAGTACTCAGTGTTGGAGATCTTTAGAGAAAAGAGTGCTTAAAAATCCAACTAGTTAAAAAAAATAAAATTGTTTTGAGCCCTCTTTTTAGGGGGATTATCACACCCTGAAACCAGCACCTCTACAGCTTGGAGGAGTGTGACATGATCAGGCTTCAATCTGAAGGGCAAACGGAATACTCTGCAAATGTTTTGGCTTTCTTTTTTTTTTTTAATCTTATTAACAGGAGTTAAAGGAAATTGTTATGATTTTACAAGTCTCTTCTTTTGAGTAAGTATTCCAGAGATCTCTAATAGAGATGAGAACTGGAAGCTTACGATGTCCATTAACTGCTGAGACCAACCTTCCTCCTCGGGTTATTTACTTATTTTAATAATGAGCAGTCTGATGGGACCTTTACTAGTACTGTCTTCTAGAAGTATCTTCATTATTCTGATAGCTGTAGTCTGTAACTTTGTGAAAGTTAGTAGAGAATCTAAGAATGGAGGATTGTGTGCTTTCTGCCTCATTTTTTTCCTGCTTATTTTGTCATTTTATTCTTTACAGTATAGACATATACTCACACATTATTTTCTTCTTTCCATATTTCATACTTTCCTGTGTTTTGACAGTTATTTCAATAATTTTCCTGCTGCTCTGAGATGGTTATCACAAGAATTGCTTTCTGAACTACATTTCCACATTCCTCAATTCTGTAGGAAAAAATTGCTACTTATGTAGAAATTTATGTAGTGCTTTTATGATTTTATAACGAGTGTTTCCCCTGTGAAAAGTCTCAAGCCTTGCTTTTGGAAGCTGTTTGAGATGAAGAGGCTTGAAAGAATTTTATAGTGTTAAGTGTAGTCAGGAGTTTTCCTTTAAACTCGGCATGCTCACAGACTTTCTAGGAAAATCCTTTGTTTTTCAAACAGTCCCTCATGTTGGAAAATTAGCCCATCAACTGCTTTTGTCCAATACAGGATTGTTTCCTTTAGAACTACAATAAGATTAGACTTTTCTAATGCATTATGAATATTGTCTGCTGTCTGTGGTAAGGAGAAAAATAAGAATCAGTATCTAGCAGAGCTGTGTATATACACACACACACGTACATACATGTACCAGATTTGTCACTTTCTGTTTGCTTCATTTTTAGTCATTTGAGGAAAAGAGCTTTGCTTTCATCCTAATTAGAGACTTGTCAGCCAATTTTTACATTTTCCTGAGATAAACATGAAAGAAGCTTGGAGAAGGATAGAACTTTGCTTGGGTACATTGGAAAGAAGGGTTTGTTGCAGTGAGATGAAAAAACAGTCACTTGTCTCTTGCACAGCTCTATCAATGTTGTGCAGTTCTGGGAACCTGTCAGTGGAAATTTCCATTTCCTTTATGCTTTACAACTGAAAGTGAGCCTATTCTGCAAGGAGACTTGTAAATGGCGTGGGGGAATGTACTGCACACTACAGCAGAGATTTCTGCTAAGCTGATGAGCTGTTGCTTTGAAGTATTGTATTCAGTGTAGATTAATAACCTAATCTTCCCTTCATTTTGTGTTTGGCTATATTTATATATTTTAATTTCATTATTTGAGTCTTATCTACAAAGTGAGCTTGAGATCTTGCATCCAAATATGTGGGTGCTGTGGCCCTCTTGTAAGGCTGCAGTGAAAAATGTAATGGAGGTGTCTGCGGTAACTTCTTTCTTCTGATGAATTCCTGTCTGTCTGGGGGGGATCCACAGTAACACTGCTAAACCCGAGATGGTGTGGGGAGGGAAGGAAATGATGGCAGAGAACTGGAGTTTGACAGTATTTCTTTGAGAGTTTGAGTGATGAAACAAGTGCAAGTTGTTAGACGTGTTCTATAATAAGCCAGTGGAATGGACTAGTTATGTCTTTGTACACAAAAAGAATTTCAATAGATGTTGAGCATTTTTTAAAAAAATATTTTAAATATGCGCTGGAACTGTGGAAGCATCTTTTAGTCTGTGCAGTTCTGGAAAAGGTTCTTTGTTTTTGTTTTCAGTTGTTAGGGAGAGAAAGCCTCGTGGGTAAGTAACTGACAGTGGTAATTGACAGGAACCTTGATGTGGTGCCAGATTGACAAAAGTCCTTGCCAGCCTTGGCTTGAGGAGTATAATTACAAAGATGTACTTCAAAGGCCTTCCCAGGGCAAACTTGATTATTTTTATTTCCCCTCCTCCCTTTCATTTTTATTTCTTTTGAAAATATCTTGCTTTTCTTTGGCTTGTTTAGCTGTCGAATGAGCAAGTCCTTTCTCACTTTTATTTTTAGTATTGTCAAAATAGTGATGCCTTCTGAGGATGAAAGTGAATAATGACAGATTAAAAAAGATGAACAGAATTTATTTCCTCCAGGTTTGTTCTTTGGGCAGTTACTTTGTGCAGCCTGATATAAACAGTAGCGTGTTACTACTTAAGTAAAACAAACATAAGCTTAGAATACCCCAGAGTATTACCTGGCCTGGTATTTATTGCTAATGGGGTCTGTTGCATAGTGAGGAGAAGTGGTCCCATATGTGCACAGGATGGCTTCTCAGAAAACAGGGAAGCAGCGACGTGTGGTGAGCAGGAGGCCAGGGCACCTCTGCACAGCCGGAGTGGCCCTGCACGTCTCTGGTGTGTTTCTGGAACTGTTGGGCATGCTTTGTGGGAGGGGGATGAAGTTTGTGTGTCTTGAATAGCAGAAGCTGGTTTGTTTAGCTGGGTGAAATGCTTCTTTACCTGTGTAAGCCCAAATAAATAGGAGATGGGGATTAATGCTCATACAGTTAGTTTGGTTTGTTTTACCTATAACTTATTTTTGCTTGAGAAACCATTATTTCTATTAGTAATTCTGATGGAAAAAATTACAGTGTGCAATAGTGTGATTAGAGAATAAAATTGTGAGGTTGAGTAGGGATGATTGAATTAGATAATTGACAGTACATTTGTGAACTTCAGATTGGTAATTTCATATAGGAGCAAGGGGAAGAACTTCCTCAACCTTGTGAAGTACTGATTGGAGAAGAGTGAATGGCATTGCCATCTCCTGAGGTCTTATCAGACCTCATTCCTAGCACTGCTTCAGGCTTTCCATCCTCATGAACCCAGGAACTGTACCTACTCAGGCCCTTCAACCTAAAGGCTGAAGATACTGTTCAATTACCTATCTAGATAGAGATGCCCACTTCACAGCAGAATAAGCAGAAGAAAACCTCACATTTTCAGTATAAATGCTGTCTTGGCAGAAACATGTCGACATCTGTAAGTTAAGGTGCCTGCTCTGCCCTGTGCTCCTGAGCAGCACACATAGGTGGTAAAGGCAGTTAGGTGTCCTTGGATGCTCTCCTTTTGATTAATACCTCTATGGAGGTACGCGAGTAATAGTGAGGGGTCAGAGATCCATCTTTAATTTTAGGCCATTTTGCAGAGGAGAAATGGAACGGCAGCTGTGTAGAGTGGATTTGGTTCAGCTCATACATTTTATTCTCTGCCATGGATGGCAGCTTTGCGCAGTGTTTTGTGGCACAGCATACTGTCTCATGAGGTTGCTGTAATTTCAGCAGAAATTCTTTTATCTGTGTGATGTGGTTTTTACTTTGTCTATAAATATAATAGTAAGAACTTTAGCTATATCATGGCCAGATTTGAAAGGACTCATCTTTTTTCAATTACCTTATTCTTTTTATTGTCAAGATTATTTGTTTTCTCATATTTGGAGAAAAGCTACGTTACTTTAGGGAGTGTCCTCTGCTTCTTGAGTTTCTGATGTAGTTCATTCTCCTTTGTTTCTGCTCAGACTTCTTCCAAAACCAGTGTAGATTATTTTCTTGTCTAAGTAGTATGTACCAAATTTGGGATTAAATGCCTCCACTGATGCAAGCATCTTTGATTTTACTAATATGTACTTATATGACAGTGTTACTGATGTCATTGCTCCTTAAGTTCCAAACAGTCTGACTTGTGGACATGAAAAATTATGTTAGTTTTAGCTTTTTAAGGGATGAACCAATTAATAATTAATTCCGTTAAAGGATTTTAACCTGAACAATGAAGATGAAAATGTAGAAATGAATGTGTCAGAACCATAAGATGGAATGAAGTCTTTAGATTTGAACTGTTAAGTCATTTGTAAACACAAATCTGAGTGTGTGGAAATAAAAAATGTGTCTGGAAAAAAAAAAAAAGCAATCGTGGATTATAAGAAATAGGAAGGGGCACAACTTTGATTTGTTTATTCTGATGTTACCTAACTTACAGATAAAAGTAAATTTGAATATGTCTTCATTCTTAAATGTTCATCTGCTGATTTTGTTATCCTGTTATCTTTGGTGTGGTTTTCCATGCTGAAATTTCTGAACAGCTATTGTTTCATGATTATCTAAACTCAGGAGTCTTCATGCATGCAGCGCGATCTTTTTCGTATTCAGCACAGCTCAGGTTCCTTGATTTGTACTGTGAGAAATGTTATCCTCCTTTCAAGTAGCTTCTGTGGCTCTTTTCTTCACCGTGTTCAATTTTCAACATAATTTTAAAAATGTGGATACCAGACCAGAATGCAGCATTCCGATGTCCCTTACAAGGGTATGGTAACCACCTTGCACCTATTGTATCCATATGTGCAGTGGAATGTTGAAGTGCTTTTTCATCTTCTTTTTTGGTCATGGCACGACATGTTGAGATGCCTACCGGCGGTAATTCTGAAGTTCTTAGTTATTTCTCCCAGGATCTTGTCTCTGTTCTGTAGGTTATGTCTGTTGGTTGTAAAATACTCTTAATCAAAGGGCATCATCAGTGTGGATGGCCTTTCCTCAGTATTTACTTTCAGCATCCTTGGTGGTATAGACGTTTACTCTGGAGACTTGATGAAAATGTTTAATGCTATTTAGCCATATATTGAGAAAAGATTTGTGCAGTGAGAACCAAAGCTCTTTTTGGAGACTTCAGGATGCAGGTAGATCTGATAAACTCCAAGTTGATGAGGTGGATACTTGGAGAAATTGCAGAATGTAATTTCTTTTCTAATATCTCTATTTCTTAAATTTTGTTTTCTGTTTTACAAGAAATTGTGTCATTAGAACTGCAGTAGCTATTAAGTGAAGTACCAATTTTGTTTGTTTTATATGCAAGATAGTATTTGTCTCACTGAGTTTGAACAGAATAAAGTATCTGCCTTTAGTTGTACACTGGCAGGTGAAAAAATGGTAATTGTTTCTTAGGGATTCACGACTTCCTTATGTTTCCTTCCTGCTAAGACAGACCCACTGGGCTCATGAAATCTGAATACATGGTTAGAAATAGTGAGGAGCAGTAGAAGTCTCCCAGAAAGGCCAAGTCCCCCTTTTAGATGAGGATCGGTCCTCAGTGCTAGCTCTCACACTTCATCCTCAGGTGTGCTTAATTTTGACAACCAGCTGTCACTGAGTCATTGCCCTCAAATGGATCATATTCCGTGTGAACAGCACAGCACCAGATTCTGTTTTCACCATTAGTTACTAAAACATTCTCAAATGATGGCTGCAGAAACAGATGTTGGGCTTAACCACTTTTTTTCTTTCCTGTACTTTTTTTAGGGTGGCTGGATGATAGTGATCAGTCCAGAGTCTTTGTGTTACATATCCAGAACCTAGTTATGGGGCAAATATTATATTTATCTTCAATTTTCTAAGCATAACTCCTTACAGTACTGTAAGATGTGGTTCTAATAATGAAATAGTAATTCTCTGGTAAATGGATCAGAAGTGGGAAGTGAGCTGGTTTACGTGTAAGAGTCATGTAGAGTAGATTTACCTTTTAGTTTTAAGTAAAAAGTAGCAATGAGGTGTTCTTTTTTAAATGGTGGGGTTGACATGTTCAGTCTTTTAGATTTTTCCTTTTCTGTGTCTCAGTCTAAGTTGTACAGCAAATTTGAACACAAGTTTTCTTTCCCCTTTAGCTGCGACAGTGTTCACCTCTCACTGATTTCAGTTCCTTCAGGATATTTCTGTTGAGCTGCCGTTCTCTGCTTCCTGCACAGACCTACCTGAGCCCTGCCTTCCTCCATTCTTTCAGTTACCATGGTAGTCTGTTATTTCCTATGGCTGTGTAGTGTACAAAAATAGTGCTATGTAAATAAGCATCAAATATTTATTCAAAAAATTGCAAAGAAAAGCGCAGAATAACATACTAAACAGCTATTCCCTAGCAAACCTAGTCCTTTGTTTCTTTGTTGAGGTTATCTTGAAGTCCATGCTTCTAATTTGTCTTATATTGATGTAATCATTTTTGTGCTAATAGCTTGCCGTTTGGAATTTCCTTATGTCCCAGTGATATGTTAATGACCTTTGTTTTTTGTAAGGCCTAATTATCTGAACTCCAGGTGACACGTGCAGCGTATGCATAACTGAGCTCTGTGCTTTGTAGCATTTTTTTTTGGTGCTTAAAGCAAAGCAAGAATTTTCTCTGAACACCTCAGAGCACCGAGGTGGTTGTGCATGTGTTCTGGTGTGTCTAGTTGAAACATCAATCCTATGCGATAGACGTGGATAAACCTGTGTGTTCATCCAATGCGGGCAGCTGTTCTTCATAGAGAAACTGCAGGGTGTGTGCTGTTGTACAGATAAGGCCTCAAAGAACTTGCAGTCAAACTCATGAGTGTTATGTGGACAGCACATGGAGAGTTGTAATGTGAAAGAGAGCAGGGGAGTGTTAATGCTGGAGATTCAAATTACTTCAGTGTCAGCTGAGATGGAACAGCTTTACCCATTGCTTATGCTGACAGTCGGTTCTTAATAATCCCAGCAGACATTGAGATAAAACATCCAGAGCTTACAATGGTGCCTTATTTATACTTAGTATGTGAATAGAATTCAAATAGTGATGTGCACACATACTACATTTCCTGTGTAATAATCTGTCATCTTTTACGTGTGATAAACTACATAGGAAGTGGGAAAGTATTACTATAACTTTTGTTCTAACCTTTTCCTGTTTCATCAGTTGTAATAAAAATAAGTGGACTGTTATTGTTTAATAATGCTGAAGGATTGTTATTATTATTTTTTTAGGATCTGGTCAACACTGGACTCAGCACTTTCTTCTTCTTCATTGCCTCTGTAGTGCTTGCTGCTTTAAACCATAAAACTGGAGCAGAAATTGCTGCTGTGGTAAGAATTTGAATTTCTTTTTATGAGTCACTTAAGTGGCTATTAAAACCAAGAATAATCTTTTAGTTGTGTTCTTGTGATATTTCTGTTACCTTAGTCTTCCCAATTTGCTTCTTATTTTACAGTTAGGTATGCAGTAATTTTGGTTTTAAGAATGTTGATTTCATTTGAATTTAGTCTCACGTCTTGGGGCATGACCAAACAGGAAAACAGCTTGCTGAGAATGCTTTACCAGTTTTATTAGTGTTGCTTCTTTATCTATACCTAGCTTAGGTAATACAACTCTATATTGTGAGTTTACAGAAAAGGTGTAGTCAAAAATTCTTACCAAATGGAGCTTTTTTTTTTGTAATCTTCTGAGTTCTTCTTGCTCACAGAAGATCAATTTTTGTGGATGGAGTGTAGTGGTACTTAAAGATTTTAGAATCTAAAACAATAAAGTCAAGCACATTAACTTTGTCCTTGAGCTGGCAAGCTTGTTTTTTCAAACCTAGACATTGAAAATCACACAAATTCTGCAGAAACACCTAGACCTGCAAATCAAATCCTCTAGGCTGATGGTCTAGATTGGCCATCTCTTGTCATTTGTTCACTGCCAGGTGCATCCTGAGGAACGAATGAACTGTTTGGATGAAGAGCCATATTATTGCAAGAGGTTCTTCCAGTGAAGTTGCATTGCAAGGTGTAATTGTTGTGTTTGTAGACGAAGAACTTAGTTTTCTTGGATCATTGATCTTAGTAGCTTTCACAAATTCTCTAGTTTATTGAAGAAGAACATCAGGTTTGTAGGCTGTGATAATCTATCAGTGCAAGTAAAGCAGAAAGCTGAACTTCTCAGAAATTTGTTATGAAACTATGCTTATTGTTTTCAAAAATTGTCTTTCTACTTCTTGTAGATATTTGGTTTCTTGGCAATGGCAGTGTATGCTGTGAACACATATTTAGCTATTAAGAAGTGGCAAATGAACAGCAGACAGCAAAGCAGTCGGCAGACCAGTGATTACATGCGTGCTCGGACAGAATCCAGAGAAGTAGATCATCGCCCGGAGATTCAGCGTCTGGATGCATGAGAGCAGCATCTAGATGGGACTGCAGAGGAAAGAGAGAAGTGCTGAACTTGCTCATGGAATACAGTGTTTTTTCTTTATTTAAGAAAGAAAAGGAAAATCAGATAGTGGCAAAGAATGCCCAGCCCAGATATGTGCAGAGAAGCATCAAGTCAGAAGCTGTTTTCATGAAAGCAGTAGATGTTGGCCATTCAAAAGCAAAATCTTTTCAAGACATCCACATATATATACATATATTGTATATATTATGTATAATATATTATATATATGTTCTGAAGTATGTTAATGTTTTGGATTACTGCGCAGAACTTCTCTTCCCTTTCCTAAGAGCAAGCTCTGAATATACATGTTCTGCCACTGTTTCTTCATCTGTCATAAAAATTAAGACCAGAGCTATCTTTTTTTGTTTAATATAAGAAAGAAATCCACCAGGAGCAAATTTAATACACATGAAAAGGAAGTAGGGGGCAAGTAGCCATAACTTTACTATGTATCGTGTCCAGCAACGCTCTGTATCCTTCCTTGTGCAGCCTTGGCAGTGCAGTTCAGTTCTCACCTGCAAGATTGCACGCTGTTTCGTTGTTGTTTCATTTACCTAGCTGCCACATGAAAGTCTCTTCTGTTTTCTGATTGTTGATTTAATGCTGAGGCAGTTATCCTTTGGATTATTTGCAAATCATCACATGCAGTTCGTGCCTGACCTTGCTTGTATCAGAACTTGTGCAAGATTAGTATATCTTATTGAATGGTCACCACAATGCATCCAGTGCAAGTATGTGAACTTTATGCTGATGTTGGATACATGCTGTTTTTCATTCCAAAATGGTGGAGGGTGGAGGAAACTTGGGAGGCAGGGTGGAGAAAGAGAATGCTGAGGGGCACAGTGCTAAAGGAGAGAGGATGAATTGTCATCTGGTAAACCTGCGTTCCAGTCATGTCTTTTTTCTTTTTTCTTTTAAGGTTCAACCTTTCTGAGAAGCCTAGGGTAAGCAGTAACTAGCAAAAATTTATGATATAAAGTGTTTCTAAGATTGCAATACTGTGATTCATCTGAGATGCTTCTTGTTTAGAGGATTACTTGTTTTTTCTAAAGTTAAACTGTTGGTAGTAGGTAAAATTTGTTTTTTGAATTGGATATATCTGCAAACATTTTTTCTAATATTTCTTTATTGAGGAATGGTTTTACCTAATTGAAGTTTTCTTGTTTTAATTTTACTTGCAATTAAGATAAAGGTATTTTCTCTAATCAGAACTTGAAATGTGAGTAATCAGTTAAATATTTCAATGCTTTTTTAATGATTGATGTTTTTTTTTAATCTGTGTAATCCATTATTTGACATCAGAGTTGAACAATTTGTATTAATCTTGTTTAGCCGTACTCTTAAGTGATTTAGCACAGTTAACTTCTGAACAAAAGGCAATACGCTGCAGACAGGTGACTTTTAAATATATAAAACTATGTTATATCAAACAGAAAGTCAGTACAAGTGCCTGGGTGTCTTTAATACTAGAAGCAACGGAGGGTGTTCCAGATTTGAACCTTACATTGCAGTTCTTGGATCAAGCAATGGAATTACACCGACAGGTAGAAAACTGGTAACAAAACCAATGTCTTTGCATTTTTTGTGGGTTTTGTGTCTATGGTGCATTTTCACTTAAAATTAAGAGTTATTAATGAGGTTAAAGAAAACTTGGCTTTCTAGACCAATAATGGTTTTCCAGTTACTGCGTTAACGTTTTATTGTAGTTTGTTGAAAGTTAGCACCAAAGGTAATGTCAGTTTAAAAAAAAAGATTGGAACGTAGAAGCTAACTTCTGTTGTTGAGCTGAGAGCATCAACATTTTATTAAGGTGGAGTCTCACTGGGTTTAATGAGTTTTATGAAATGTAAATGACAGTTCCACGTTCAATGTGGCATGAAATAAGTTTCTTGAAGTCAGTGTAGTTGCTTTAGCCCTTCTGTTTTTCAGCAGTCCACTTGAAAGTAGCACAGACATATGTAGACTGGAGTTGTAAACAGACATTAAGGCAGTTTGCATAAATGTTATTAAAAAAAAGAAAAAGCCTTATTAAAATACAGAATCTTGTTCTGCAGAAGATGGATACTTCTGGAATGGTACCTGCAGAAGTTAGGCGTGAGGAAAGAGTTTAGGGTAAGCATAGGCTTTTCATTATGAGTATATCCTGATGCTGGTTAATGAGAGGGCTGCAATAACACGTATGAAGGAGAATGTCCTGTTCCTCTTCTGTAGTCCCTGTGATGATTCTGGTTCTCTGATTTCTCAGAGGTATGTATGGGAGATTTCGTGCATCTGCAAGTTTTGTGAATTTGGTATCTTTAAAATCCATACACCTTTCCTAACCTGAACAAAAGATAACTTTGCAGGGCCTGTTCTGGAGTGAGATTGCAGAAAGCTTCTTATCTTTAGCTGGAATGACAAATGCTTACTTAGTATGAATGATAGTTATATTTCTAATATTGTATAATACTTCATCTTATATGTAGTATTCCTGTATGACTTTGAGTGCTATTACATGGTAAATAAGTTTTCTTGAGTTGAGAACAGTATTTATTACTTACAGCACTCATGACTTGAGCTTAGCACAGCTTTCAGGGTAGAATTCAAAGAGAATATGATTTTTAAAAGTTTTTTAAAAGAACTACTATCTGATAACTTTGTAAACAGGAAGACAAATGTAAATTTGTAATTTCCTTATTTTGGGGACCAAAGATGATTTTAGTATTGTACAGTATATACTTTCTTAAAATCTAAGTTAAGCATTTATTACTCTACAGAGACATTATTTGCTATCTGGTTTATAGAAAAGGGAAATAAAGTAGCTATGAGACAACTAAAATTGAAACACTGAGTTCATTTAACATAAGCATTCTTAATTCCACCCCCTTTACAATTACAATTTCATGTGGTGTATCGAAGAAGCAGTAATCTTTGTTGTTAAGATTGCTATCAAACCTGCAGCCATTAAAAGAGTAGAATTAAAAAAAAATAAATGAAATCTTTACGGAAGAAAATGAGTCAGAAAGGTTTTGTGATTTGCCTTTTTGAAATTTGCTTAGAAAAGTGGCACTAAGTTACTTCTTCCAGCCAGCTAGTCTTGCTGGCTTTTCTTAGTTTCAAGTGTGCTGTTTAGCTCTACAAAGGGATCCAAAAACCACTGTAAATAAAAGAAAATGAAAGCTAAACAGATGAATCTCGTGGGAATAGGATGCTTGAAATGGTAATGGCATTCTGATTAATCCTCTTAAGCCAAAACTGAGCCCTCAGATTTGCCATCACCATGTATTCCTGTGTGTAAAAATGAGGGTAAATATTGCATGCTATGCACAGGCTTGAAAGATCAGTTAACATGAAATGATTGGAGCAACAGAGTAACTGTTGTATGGTGTTGTAAGAATAGGTATTTTCCTGTTAATACTCTGTTCAGTTTGGGCAGTCTTAGTTCAGGTTTATCGTGCATTCACTTGATGGTATGCAACTGCCTGCTATAGAATTAAGTTTCTTAAATGATAATTAAGAATGATTTGGCAGCTTAATTGCTTCTTAGTAAAGTTGATTCCTACCTACACTCTGCTTGCTCCTTTCATTTTGTAAATTCATGCCTCATCTGTCTTGTTTTATATCTAGTTTTTGTTAACCGTTCTGCCTTGATATGTATAGTGACTGCTTCAATCTGAGGAAGATAAGAATAGTGTTTTCTATGTCCTGCTTGAGTATGGTACTCTTCCCATCTGTGATAGCTTATAATGTTTGGGGATGGATCTGCTGGGGGATTTTTTTTTTTTTCCCCTGTGGTCTTTGGAAGCCATCTGGCATAATACTGCTTGTGTTTCTTCCTAAGTTTTCTATAAGGAACCATATGCTCAGAGGTTATTATTAGCATCATCTGCCATCTACCTCTGCCTTTTCTGAGAGACAAGGTGCTGACCTTTGAGATTTGATGCCTGTATCTCAGTCTGTTCTGTCCATCATTGGCTTTATATTCAGAAGTATGGCGTGAGCAGTGAGCTGTGCCTTGGAAACAACTCGTCATCTTCTGTTGTGTCTCTTAGGTGAGAATTTAAATAAAATCAGTAACATGGGGTGCTTCTTTATAGGCTTCATATGTGATTCATCGTGCATCTCGTGATATTATCTAAATTGATTTAATGTATTTGTTTATATTTCACTATTAAGTCTAGAAAGAGGAGGGGAGAAGTGAGGAAAAAATCCAATTTGTTAATTATGTATTTCTTTTCCCTCCGTGAATTACATTGCACCACGTGATGATTGTCCCTTCGTAGTACAGCAGGCTTGCTGTTTCTTAAAGTGCTGTGAACCACACCGGAAAATTCATCTACTGTAACCTGTGTGTGGACTGTTAATAATTGAGTCAACCTTCAATTTCCTATAAATTTATAGGGTCCTAAACAAGTCTGACATTTGCCATCTTTGTGCTATTTTGGGAACATGCAGGTACAGCAAATGCTTATTTAATATGTGGCTTTATAATGCAGCGCCCCCCCTTCTTCAGTCTGTGTTCTAAATCTGCTGTTTTCTTGTCCTATGATGTACTTGTAAGCATTCCCACATGTGTAGGTTCCCTTTTTCTTTTTTCTTTTTCTTTTTTTTTGTTTTTTGACTGGGGAGTGTTTGTGGGGCATAAACCTCTCCATCTTAGTAGCAATTCAAACTGGGTAGAAAATAATGTGCTCTCTCCTCCTTTGATGAGATTCTGAACAGTTTTTACGTGAAAATCAGTACAGCCTTGTGCTGAAAGCTCTGGAGCCAAACATCCTGAGTTAGGATAGATGAAAAATTAGGCACAACTATGAATTTGAGATGTGGTAAAGGGTCAGAAGAAGACAGACAACCAGACTTGATGTTCAGTAACCTGGCATTTTGAAAATGATGTGTGAACTTGAATAATCCCCTACTGCAGAAGGAAAAATATCTTCCTCACATCTTAGTGGAGATGGAGACATTTGGACTTGGTTTAAAAAAAAAAAAAAAAAGTAGGCTTAGAAGTGTTCTTATCTCCCTAATTCCAGGGCCATGCTGGCCATACAAAATGGTAGGAGAGATTTGACACCAACATTGTTAATGGCGTGCCTTAAAGCTTGAGGTATGTTGGCAAATAATGTGATTATCTAATGACTTCTACTCAGCTGAAGTGTAGCACTTGGTTCACAGTGGCCTGCAGGACCTCCAGGAGCTTACATCAGGAGGACTCTGTACCTGGAGGAAGGCATTCTTTCAGGCTGAGATTTCTGCCTAGTCCCACTGAGACAAGTAAAGCTGTCGTGTAGCATTCCTGAACCTGGGACTTTCATTTTGTCGTTTGTAAGATAAAATATTATGGTTTGTTTGGGGGGCCTTTTAACTAACAAAGATCAAAAGAACGTGTAGATACAGATATGTATTTTAATCTTAATGGCAATGAAAGTAATCGTTTTCTATGAATCTGAAATGGGTACAAAACCCAGCAGAATGTTCTGCTTTTTGCCTTTTTTGGAAAAAAAATACTAGCTTTATTTTAATAGAAGGAGTTGATTAAAAATGAATTCACACAGATATTCAGGAAATCTCTGAGTTTTTTCTGATATTTTCCATTTTAGCCACTTACTTAAATTGGTATTTGATAGAGCCAGAGGAGTACTGCCCTGCCTGAGGAGGTTCCTTTGTTGTTTTGGTCTTATTTTTGCATTGTATTTTTAAAATCTGCCCATAGTTTAGCCATTTGTATTCCATAGATAATCTGTCTTAAAATCTGCTTACACTGTGATTTATAGAAGCCTTTAATTTAGAATATACAACACAATCCAATTTTCTTTTGGGAATATTCAGCTTTAAGAATTGTTCTTATGTATGCCCAGAAGTAAAGGTTGTCTGTTTATCACGAAAATGTGGTGAGGTGAAGTTCCCTATCCAGAGTCCCAGTACACCTCTTTCAAAAGCGTGCTGGGTGGATGACTTGGTGAAATTGCCTTTTAATCTCTGTGGGTTAATAAATGTATTTTTTTTATAACTAGCCACAGATATTCCTTTTTAAATTATGCTTGGCAAACAGAAGATATTTAATTTTATATACAATATACATAGTTACCTTGATTGACATATTTATAACAGAGCTTTGAGTTTACTATTAAGGTTTTATCTGTATGCTGTGGTCTTCATGGGTAGAAGTTCTAAAAAGCCAGTTAGCCTATATGGAAGGATATAGAAGCTATCTTCATAAATTCCGAAGGAGGACATCAGAGCATTTCAAAAAGCAATAGCCAGACCTTACTCAGAGAGTGTCTGTTTTTCCTTGTCTTTCACTGGGGCTGGTCCCTGCAGCTGTTTTAGTAACATCTGGATGTGAGTAACAGCATGAAATACGACTGTCTGCCTTTTCTGACTGTCAAGGACTATTGTCTAGAATATGGGAAGTTTCAGGGTATTGTGTTTGTTTTGCTTCGGACAAACGTCTCAATAGACATATTTAGTTAAAAACTTCATGTGTTTGAAAGAAAATACCTTCTGTTAACCAGGCTGATTTATCACTTTTGGTAACCTTTTAATCCCAAAGGATTACAATCATAGTACTTCTAGCAATGTTACATTTATCCAGATGTCTACAGGTTGAAGTGGTTCTAGCTAGCACCCTTTTATTACAACAATTGCTACCTTCATTTTCTACTGTTTATTCTTTTATCTCAAATGTTTACCAGTTTCTCCTTGTTGGATTATTGCAGAGGGAGGGTGTATCTTAGCACTACAGTTCATCCAGCTTTAACTCATGTCACAGTTCTAGAGTAAGAAGATATTGTGACTTATACATTGTGGCCAATTAATTGCATTTTAAATGATGTCTGTACTTAAGATATAACAGTTTTGGCATAACGAATGACTTAGCTAATCATTTTATCTGTCTAGGCTTCTGTGTTACTGTCATTTTGAAACTATTTGTATATGTTGAAGTTTGTAAGGGTTCGGGAACCCACACTAAAATAGTAAACTATGTATTTATTTCTCAATCTGCAATTTATTTGCTCAGTTATGATTTGAAAGTTGACACTTTGTACGTCTTTTCACAGAATTGTAAACAAATACCGAAATACTGCTTCACCTAGGGTGCCTTCCATGTGTGGTATAACACCTGTCATCCACAGCAACTGAGATGTAAATTTATTAAACCAGTAAACACTATTTTTGTAATGCGAGTCCCTATTATATCTCTGGTTTTGTTGTGCTTTGTTTCTGCTAAAGCAGTTTATTGGTACTGGTCATAGTCTTACCTCTGTGTGCTGTGTAGCAAATTTCTTCTCAGAATGTGAATCAGAAGATGGTCTCATTTTTTTGCTCTGCCTTCAAGTGCTACCTGAAAGATGAAGTTGAAGCACATTGCTGAAGTGAAGGTATTTCAGCTCTGTTTCCTTGACATGTGTATAAAGAAGTGCTCAGTGTGGGATCTCTGTATCCTTGGTGCTAATTTGGGCTCCTCTAGAGAAACACAGTAGATGCAGTCTAAACATTCCTAACAGTAGCTATATGTATGCTTAATGGTGTCTGAGGAAGGAACATCTGGGCCTGGATGTAAGACTTGTCCCTCGGGTATAGTTCCTATACTGACAGGTTTGTAGTTGTGAACAGCTCAGAAATGTCAGTCAAAGGCAGTGGGTTAGAGTTGCATCTCGGGGCTGAGCAAAGGGGGTGCAGTTTTTCTTCCGACTTATGAGTATGCTTCTGCTATGTAATACCCTTGGTGTTTCACTTTTGAAGTACAAAAAATTGTAATATATTGCCAAGGAAAATCTCTTAAGTGTTCTGTATATGCTGCTGCAAATGCAGAAACTGGCTCTGTTGTCCTTACTCAGGCAAAGTTCCCCATTGACTTAGGAGTCTGCAAGATAAGGCATCCATTTATCACCAAAAGCATGTTCTGATTCAAGGATTTGAAGAATCTCACAAGCTAACTAATGTTAGCATAGAGCCCATGTACAGCCTTGAAGCAATCTCACGGTATTTGGTAAGTATTTTTAGTGTTTTGAATTAGATTGCACGCAGACCAGCTGATAAACTCAGTGCTGTCTGTAGAAGTACCAACTGGCTGTGATCACTGTCTTGTCACTGTTAACAGCAGTAGCTCACATGTGTAAGGATAGCATCTTCCAGCTCTGTTTGTGAATGTCGTGCTGTTAACGTGCGAACAATTTCGAAGGCAACTGTACGAGAAAACACAACCCCTAACTTGTTTCTTTATACCAATAATGGGTTTTCAATATGTTGTGCCCTTGTTTTCTGTTGGTTTAAAGCTGAACAAAAACACACGTTGAAGAATGATCTTGGAATACAGCAGTCCTTATTTTAAAAATCTACACAATTCTAGTGTAATTTAAACGGTGTATTTATCAGTTTAAAATGTCATTTTACTTTTCCAGTCTTTTGTATATGGGCACGTTACTTTTTGTAAATTTTTAATTTAGATGTCTTTGTCGATTTTCCTTCTGATATTTGACGATTTGAGCTCTATGGATTTTCATGGTACTCTTCTGATTATGTCTTCATAGTGTTTAAAGTCTGTATTTTTGTATGTAGGGAAAATTGTAGTTTTCTAACACTTACTTTGATCAATATAGTATGAAATCATTTGTGAAGGATTTCCTGTTTAATAAATGGACGTATTAAAGTATTAAAGATTGTCTTCATCTGTAAAGGCAATATATAAGTTCAGTGTTATGGTTGATTAGTTGACTATGCAGCAAGTGCAGTTGCTAAATGCATTTTCAATGCAAGACAATGTCATAGAGATAAAAAAAAAAAGAACAAAAACACAACAAAACAGCTGAACAAAAGATTTCTGCCTGAGGTTTCTATGACTCTGGAGGTTTCTGTGGCACACTGGAACAACAAAACACTGTATTTTGGGTTTGCAGCATCGTGCTCTGGACTGAGAAGGGATTTGAGGACCAAAATGTGCAGTGAGTGGTAGTGCTCTGCCATCTCCTGGGCTAAAGGTCACGTATCTTACCTTGATGCGACCAGTATTTTGGGTGTTCAGATGGCTTTGGTGCACAGATGGCCGAGTGAGTGTTGTGGGAATGTGGATTGCATGCTTGAAAGCCTGCAAGGGAGGATAGCAAGTGGGGGGGAGGTTGGTGACATTAGTTGGGGTGTGTCAATGAGCTTTTGTGGAAGGATTCAGTATGGACGGACATGTGCTTGTGCATCTCTTCACCAAGATAGACTGATCATTTTGCTCGTGTAGGTGCTCAGCAGTGGTAGTCTTAACAAGTTGTGGTATTACATCTGTTGTACTCGCCTAGAGATCAGACCTTAATGTAACTGATGCTGTTCAAGTAACCAGATGGTTAGTGCTGGATGTAGTGGCATGTTGCTGCTGGCATGGTGTTCCCTGGTCAAGAGAAGCTTTATCAGCTGTGGAATAGAACAAATCATGTTTACTTTGTCTGTCTTTTAAACACTGAAGAATGACTTTATTCTCCTGGGAAGACTGTGATTGATTTCTTATTTAATGAATGTCGTGGATTGGGCTAATGAAATGTGATGGGCAACATCCAAAATACATAAAAGCACAAGTATTGCCTGATTCAGAATGAATGCTGGTATCACTGTTCTCTTTTTCAAGGTAATAGGTGGAAAAAGCAAGTTTTCTGAGTGTATGTAATCTTTTTGTTTTATCTTCTAAGTTTTGCACAGCATTCAGAGTACTGTGACATCTTCCAGTAAAGGTGCTGCAGTGGAGGTGAGTGTGCTTTATTTTTCTAAACAGTTCTATTTATTTAGAAAAAGCAAGATTTGTTTGCATCCTGACTTTTAAACCAGTACTCCTGATAAAAAGGAGTCCCAGATACCTTGTAAGAAGACTCATATTCTCAGTACTTATGTAAATTTCTTGTGCTTCCTTAACATAAGCTCAGAAAAAGTTCCAAGGCTGCTAGGTGAATCATATGTAGAAATATAAGATGGTATGTGCCTTCTCTTTGCTTTTAGGGGACAGTTTGTGTCCTTATTGTTGAAATCACTTTTTTAATCTCTCAAAAGTCAAAATTTCAAGCTACCTGTTAGAAGGTTTATCTGAGCCTACGAGCAATACGTATTGCCTTGTTTTACACATTATAGAAGTGTAGGTATCAAGAATATGCATTACCAGTATCTGGCTGCAAGTACATACTCACTTCCTAATGCAGACCACTGTTTTCCTAGCAGGGGAAGATGCAGCTGTAAAATATAGGCTTAGAAAATTGTACGGTGAACAAAAGCGTAATGAATTAAAAACATCTGCTTGCTATGCCAAGCATTAAATAGTCATCTGCTTTTAAGCACACCAGGCTGGTGAAAGCATGCTTCTCAAATACCACGTGGGCTGAGATGGATCGCTTAGTAGTACCTTGGAATTATTTTGTTAATTGGAAATGTAAGGCTTTCAGGACTTTGAATAGCACAGGTGAAAAGCAGCCTGAGGTGGAGTAATGTACAGCGTGCGCAAAGGACAGCAGAGCCTGAATTGAAAGGGTGCTGGGAAAGGTCTTCTGAATTCCCAGGTTTTGCTATTGCTGAGCGCTGTTCAGCATGCACAGAAAGTCAAAATGCAGATTGTTGTGTTCTAGTTGTAATGAAGGCATACATCAACCTGTACGCTTTTTGAACAGCTCCTGTTTGGAACGAGTGTTGTCACTGAAGAGACACGTTTGGTTATGATACTGCTGGCACACCAAAAACAAATAAGACTGCACACCATAGGCGTAACATTTGGCAAGAGTGTGGAGAAACCAGTGCTCCCACTCCTTTTGATCTTCACAGTGCAGAAAACAAGCCAAACAAAAACCAGGCAGACTGCTTCTGCCATGCACCAGACTTTAAAGTATTGGCTTTAAAGGAATTATTTTTAATTGGATTTTCTTTTCTGAAATGCTGTTCATAAAATACCCAAATGCATTTTATTTCAGTCGTGGGAATAGATCTTTTTATTTAAAAGGCTGGAATCAAGCAACCACTCGACCCTGGGAGCTAACTGCTTAGAAATAAATGAAATCATCAAGTGCTTGCATTGTCTGAACAGGCAATTCAGCACATGCCTAATGAAGTCCTGAAGCAACTTCTGTTTGTTGTGAGCAAGGTTGCTTTTTCCTGTTGATTTTGACTATTCTGATGGGTAAATTTAACAAGCATTTATACTGACTGTGTGTCTTTAAAGGGTAAATCCAAAGGGGAATCTTATTTTACAATGTTGTTATCTGCCAAATGAGGTCACTACATATGATGCCTACTACATATGCTAAAACAAATGCTTGGTTATTTATTTATTATTTGCTTAAGTAAGGATGAAGATTCTCCTTGCAAAATATGTAACCATGTGTGATTGGCTGCCAGTGCTGTCCTCTGCATCTCCAGAATACAGTGTCCTTTGTGTCAGAGTTGCCTGAAATAGCGTTATTCCCACTGTTCAGAGGCAAGGATGAGATATTTAAGTAAAGACACCCAGTGTTTCTATTAAAAGAGATTTAATCCAGCATGGTTTCTAAATATTAACCATGTACTAGTTTCTGGCTGTGGCATGCAGTACACTTAAAAAAAATAATAAAAAAATACAAATAAATTGAATATAAAAAGCCCAGATCTCCTGATGTCACAGTGAGTGTCAGTAAAACATGACAACAGAGAGGAAAGAGAGGATTTCAAATAAGAAAAGGTCCAATGAGCTCTTTTCAGAAAAGCAAAGATTATTTATCACATCTGGAAGCAAACATCTGGTTTCCTTTTATTCCCTCAGTGGTGTGAGAACAGGAGTTGTAGAAGCTGCCTGGTAGACATCTCCAAATCTGGCCAGCACCTTCCCAAGCACCAGCTCACTGTCAGGTACCGTGCTTTTGCCTGTTAGCAGCCAGCTGCCAGCAGGGAATTGGAACCCAAGCAGTCATTTTGTTCCAAATGAAATCTGCTTTTGCTGTTTTAGCTCTGTTTTCATTTATTGTTAGTACCATCTGCTCTCACTTTAATTATTTTTTTAAGCAACATGTTCTGCTGTATTAATTATTTTAATGTATACAGGTTTCTTTGAAACATACCTGATGCCATATATGAGAAGCATGCCATGCTGTTTCCAAGTGATACACGCTTACGTGTTGGCACGCAATTTGCAAGTTAAGTTGTGCTACCCATGAAAACATGTTCTTGTAAATTCAGGTTTTTCCCAAAAATATTAAAGTAAATCTTGTCCTTGTGAGGCGAGGGTGAGGGCTGAGGACATGGATTTTGTGCAGACATTCTTTATTTTGGAGGTTGGCTTTTTTACCTCTTCACAGTGGGAAGGAAGTTGCCCTCTGGAAGTCCAGGTATCCTGAGTTTTTCCGGTACAATCATCTGTTTTGTGGACCCAGTAGAGCAACTACAGCGCTGTTTCTCATTGGAAGACCAATGTTGGCAAGATAGAGCATGAGATCAGACAATGATACCTTGCACGCAAACATGTGCAAGCTCTCATAGGCACATGGTGTAGCTGGGTGGTTTTGGGAAGCCTTCCTTACCTGCATGTGCAAACGCACATGTACAAGGGCTTCCACAAAAACAGTAGGAAGGGGCTGGTAAGATTCCACTTCTGTTCTACCACATATCTGTGGTGAAACTGCAGAAAATGAGAACGTGATCCCATCCAGGCAGCTTAAAAAGTGATAATGTCTGATGAGGCACCGTTACACTTTGAGATTTATGCTTGCTGCTCATTTCCAGTTGTCACTTGTTATCGACATTTAGGCAGTAGATACTGATGTACTGAAACCAACTATAATCCATGCCTTGATGTGGTTGAGATAGTGGAATGCTCAGACTTGAGATAAATGTTGTTAGTTAATCAAGAAAAATATAAGTGAAATAGAGGCATTCTGGGCCTCTTTTCTTTGGCACAGCAAGAAGTATTAAAGCAAGAAGTAAGTGTTAAAGACTTGGAATTGAGAAAGCATGTTAAAAGCTCTGCTATAAGTTTAAAATACTGTGTTCCCATTTACTCGGCACGCTGCATGCCGAACAACAAAGGGTTGTTTGGATGCAGACCTCTAGGAGGTTGAAATCTGTAGAAGCCTTAGTTCTGTATTACGTATCCTTATTTCTGGAAGAGTGTTTAATGGTATTGGGAATGGTCTCCTTCACCACACCACTGCCCTATGCTTTGGTGATTCCATAAACAGTGAAGTGGAAAGAGGATATTGAGGCTGAAGTAAGAGAGATGTTTCAATTGGCAGTGCAGTCAGCAGAGAGGAAAGTGCTTGATTATCTTCCCTTCACACTCGGCTGGTGTTTGTTTTTTCAGTCTGAGTCAGAATCGGAGTCTTCATCTGAAATTTAAAACAAACCAAATAAAACACAATAACGAGAACAAATTGGAAATTGGAGCAGCTTTAGCTCTAGCTGAGAGACACCTGCTGCTCCTCTGTGGGTGCCTGCTTCGAAGGATGTGGTGTATTTAGGGGAGGAGTTTGCAACGTGCCAGTTCTGACTAACCTGCTAATACAGCTTTAAATGACATTTCAGAGGACTTGGTGAAAATGCCACAACAGCAAGATAGACAACAGTTCAAATGAAAGAAGCTGCAAAGATACTTCTGTTAGTGTGACCACTGAGAGGAAGCCTGCTTACAATATGCTTCCTGTGCTGAAGTATTGCTGTTTGATGCAGGTCTTGGTTACGCACTGCCAGTTAAACAGATCTGAAAGCCAGAAGCTCTGGGGCATTAAGAAATCCCTGTGGGCATACAGAGATGCATCTTGCCCAAGTGTGAGACTCAGCTTGCAAGAAGCAAGAGAATTCTGTCCCCTGTCATTGAGAGCCACCGTATGAACGTGGCTTATGCTGGAGGAGCAGTGTTGCAGGGCAGGGGTTCTTCATTGTCACCCCCAGCACAGCTGCTTGACTACGTGTATGCAAGTTCAAAAGTTTCTCTCTCCATCTCCAGGCCAATAGACTCTAACTTTAGTCTAATTTTATACCCTAATCACCTGATCTTGTTCTTGTTCTGTGGCCATTTCAGATTGTGGGGCTGAATGGTTTTTAATCTCTTTAACACTGTTTCCTATGATCTGTTCCTTTAAGTCATCTTTCGCAAAAATCTGTGCTGCACAATTACTTCTATAATTGGATTTAGGAGGTTTTCAAAGTTAGATGGCACACAACTCTGAGAAACTAAATCTCAAATTCTTGGTTTGTTAGGATCTTAATAAATTGTGAAAATTCCAGTTCTTCTGGTTTAATACTAAGGACCTTCATAATTTGGCTTAGTTGAATATTTAGTTGAAAACTTAGTACCAAATGATGGTAGCCGAGAATAGGAACTCTTGCTATTTGAGTGCTCTTGCTGACAAACGAAGGGTGAAATAGAGAAGAATCACATTTCATGCTTGTATGACCAAAAGGATTTTACCTACCTTCTGACTTGCGCCTTTCAGGGGACTCAGAACTGCCTTGCTTGAGAAAAGTAACCAGGTCATTGAATGTTATGTAGAAATCGATAGCGTACACTATTGTGGCTATAAATCCAAACACCTAAAATGGCAGAATTGATGTGATCCTTAACAACATGTCTATCAATGACAGAACAAATCAACCGAGTGACAAATTCCAGTAACATCTTAGTTTTAAAATTGTGTCTGATTTGGGATTGCTCAGTAAAGTTCAGTGGCTTACAGTACTGGGTGTAGTTCTTGCCTAGCTTGTCATGTCTTTATGCAAATTTTATGATGCATAAATTATTGATACCTGTAGTCAAGTTGCAACTGCAGAAGCTGTATCTTATTTCTGAATGTGCTGATACTAATAGCAAAGGCTTTCTCCTGGACAGCCCACATACAAGAGGGTAAAGTGATGACTGCTACTGTTTCAGTTTATCCAAGCAAAATTATGCATTTGAAGCACAAAGGTGAAATCACTTATTTTGGACCGTCCTTAGCAGTTACATGTATATTATTGCTGGTTCTGCTACATTTGTTTTTTGGGCAGGAACAGTTGAGCTTTATCTTTTTGACACAGCTAGTGAAATTGCAAATCAGAATAAGTGTTTTCCCAAAGTCATGCCATTAACTTTGAGCAGTAGTATTAGGATGAAAACAGCTATTTGTTGATTCAGAACCTGTTCTCCTAAATAACTGACTGTTTCTTCCCTGCTTTTTAGGCAAATTCTTCACTTTTTAATTCAAGTGTTTACTACTTGCAGTAGGGTCAAAATTTGTTTCTGATGCGTGTTCCTACACAGTTCATTAAACTATTGAAGAGGAAAGCTGACATCTACTTACTCCGGCTGCTTTGGATGCTCCATCACTGTATTTTGAGACAGCAGCGATTGAAATGGCAAAGTAAATAACAGCAGCAGTGACACAGCGCAGGAAATCCTGTAAAATAAGCAGTGTGGGAGCATCAGCTCAGTCGCATAATTCCGACACACACAATCCTCTGAGAATCGCTTGGGAAGTTGTAAGCCTTTGGTGCTGTCTGACTTGCCTGATGCTGGAACGTGACTACAGCCTTCAGTAAATGAACTATTCATCTGGGAAATATTTCTATATGAAATATGACTGAAATCTTGGCATCAGCTCCTGAGAGTGCAGCTCTGCTGGGCAGGAGCCATGCCCTGTAATACAAGTAGTGATGTGCTGGAGCAGCCTTATCTGTGAACGGTTCAATAAAAGAAGAACTGTGATTCGTAGGGCTGTGTAAATCATGTGAGCCAAAAGAATGGTATCTTGACCTGTTCACAATGAGGTCTGCATTTTCAGGCCAGATGGACAGGTAAGGTACTGTCTCAGAAGACAAATCTACGAGAAACTTGATTGGTCTGGAGTTGGAGCGAGGTCAGTTACCTCTGTTCTGCAGCTGGAGTATGTTGTGGTAATGGATATAATAAATAAACATACAAGTGCTTGTTTTCTTAGTTCTGTATGAAGAAATTGAGATTACTGTCTGAAAAGCAGGCAAACTTTCATAGTCACTACTATTGTTTTATCCACCAAAGGCCTTTCTAATGGTATTTTTATTGATTGAGAGCACTAATTCAAATCTCACTAGGGTAAACTCTTGTGAAGCTGTACCAAAGAGAGAGCCCAATCTGACTACATCAGTGATTTATTTACTTTCAAAGAATGTGTACTGATAGATTAATGCTTTCTTTGTATTGCATTTTTGAAGCAGCAGAGACATCCAGTGGTCACTGAGCAGTAATTACCTGCAACTGCAAATGCAAAAATGTCCTAAAGAGCAGCCAGCGACCTCTGCCAGCAAGAGTAGCAGGACATCCCCACTTAACACAATTAGTTGTCCGTCAGCATGTGAGTATCTAAATGCATGTGGATATCTGCATCTGAACAGCTTTTACCTGAGGTTTTAAAAGCAGTCAAGTGCATGCCTCACTTTCACCATGTGTATCATTGAGACCTCAGCAATGGAAAGGCTCAGGCTGATGTTGGCTGCTTCTGAAAACCATTTGCCCAGGCAAAAATCCTGTGCTCTAACAAAGCAGTGCTATGTGTCAATACCTGGAAAGCTATAGTATATTGTAGAACATAATTTAAAGAGTGCTTTGGGACCTTTTGAATGAAAGGTAAAATGGACAAACTTCTCATCAGGAGTAAAACTACTAGCAGCCAGCCTGAACTCCAGTATAGTCCTTTTTCTTGTACTGTACAATTAAATCTGTGGTTATAGTTCATATTTCACTTACTGTCAAAGGCCAGTAGAGTCCTTTAAACTTCTCATTAAGTTTAGAGGCATAGGCAAAAAAAAGAAACAGTGCCAGCAGAAATTCTAGGAGTGGTGCCATCATGAATGCAGAAGCTGAAGATGCAATATAGCAGATAAAGATGATAAATGACAGCACCTAGAGTAAAAGGAAAACACTCATTATTCACATGGAATGGCAGAGCCTTAGGCAGCTGAGCAGCTTTGAAGTGTTACTGGGCTGATGATGGCGTATCTTGCTTCCTACTTTTTTTTTTATTTTATTTTTTTGCACAAAATGAATTTTCTCGTTCACTGAGGAATAAATCTGAAGTCATGCCATTTATTTCAGTGTGTACATTTGGCTCTCCAGAGATCTTGGTAGATTTTCACCTATCTGAGCCAGTAATTCGTTCTGGGTTGTAAACAACTCTTGACAACATAATTCTGAAAATGCAGTGGAACTTTGCCAAGCAAACAGAGCTTTGAGCTTTCAGCCATGACAGTTGTCATTTGAAATGCAAATCATTGCTCAGGTACCAAAAGTAACTCAGCACTTCTAATCTTCTTTGAGTTGAAAGAAATTATGTCTACTGTTAATGGACAAAAAAGACAGGAGTTAGTTATTCTGTGATTTCTCTGTCTCTGGTTCCGGTTTCTCAGTGTAGACAACTGTTTTAGAGAGTTATAGCTACCCCCATAGATCTATTTATTTCCATAATTTTTTTTTTATAACTCTGCAAAATAACAAAGCATGTTTTCCCTCAATTTAAATACAATTAATATGTGACTTATGGTTCAAGGTGTTTCTACAGTGGGAAAAATGACCAAGGAAAATGTACTTTCTCCTAAATCAGACAGTACCAGAGCGCTGTGCTGCTGTTCTGGACATCTCCAGATGTCCACAGTACAACAGTACTTGTGTGTGAAGATGGGAGGTGAGGGAACTGGGGCAAAACTGAGCAGTTCTCCAGTCTTGTACTTTGAGCTGGTCACATCCAAGAGGCTCCAGTTCTACTGTCTCATGGTAGGTACCACATTAGACTACACTTTCTGCGGCAGTTATGTGCTGACTTACACCTGGACTGCTGCATCCAGCCTTTCCTTTGGAGGCACTTTTTGGCCTTAGATGCTCAAGGATGGTTTTTGTTGCCATAACGGTAGGCACAGTCTGAGGAATAGATCAGGAGGGTTTTAATTCTAAATTGGGATGCTTCTCACATTCTTGCTCGTCTGATCTTAAAAGTAGACATACTTCTCCCCCAGATGGCCCCTTAGAAGGCAGATAAGGCTTTCTGAATAGTGTAAATGTTCCAGTTGAGATGATCAGTATATTTGCTTCATTGAATTTCAGAACTATGGCTTTTTTTTCATTGCTGCTGCTGTGTGTTCCTGTGAGAGCATCACCTGTACCTCAAGGAATACCCATATTGCCCTTAAAAGGTAAGACACTGATTGCTCCTATAAGAGTCACTCAGCCCTCAATATATGTATCAAAAGAGCCTGTTTGTGTGTAGGAGGCAAATAAACAGTTGAGTCCTGCTGAAGTGATTTGTTAAGGTAAGGAATTAACAAGCTTTTGTTCTAAATTCCAAAAGAATTGACCAGGATGACAGTGACTGAAGTGTATTGTTTAGATTCCTTAGGACTGGGTGGTGAAACTTGAGAGGATGTGACATTTTTAGTATGAAACTATATTTATCTTAGAAGCTTACGCATTGTTCCTGTTTCATTAGGTTGTAAGAAACTGGTCTGCATCAGGGCTGTGTTCTGTCAATATTTATCCTGTTATTTGCCTGTTGCTTGCATACTCTTTGCAGCCTTACCAGAGTTCTCACACAGCAGAGGGAACTCATTTGATGTATTTTACATGGGGGGGGTGGGGGGTGGGGTGATGTTTTATCAGCTGTATTAATTAAAGTGTATTCACACTCTGGGTTTTCTTTGGTCCCTGGAGTTGTGTCCTTTGAGAGCAGTTCAGGAGCCTGAGCTGTTCCTGCAGCTGAGGTCAGTGTGGTTGTGTCTGCCTTTGCCATGGACCAATATTTGGATGCAGGGAGTTCCAGTTCAGAAAAGAGCAAAATAGGAGCTCCTGGCAATGGTGTCATAAAAAGTCCCATGAAAATGAGGCCTGATTTTTTTTTTTTTTTTTAATTTTATTTTTTTTACTCCTGAGCACCTCTTTTTTGTGAGGATGGGAACGTACATCATGGAAACAAAACAAAACAAAAAAGTTAAATAATAGTTCTTCGTAAAGGAACTTTTCTGGTACTGCATTTCAAAAAACAAGTTTTCTCCCATGTAACAATTACTTGATATTGTGCTCCTTGGCTTTTTATGCTGGCCAGGCACTGGGAAGGCAACACTTCATCATATAACCAGCCTTCGGTTTGAGGTATAAAATACACTTAGTTCCAACAATTAAAGTAGTGTGCTCTGTAAGGGAGGCCTGCTGCAGTGCTGAGGTCACAGGCAGGATATGTGAAGGCGTTTGCCTCTCCTGCACACACAGAACAGACCCAGTGCAGCCCATGGGGATGACATGGATGCCAGGAAACAGCTGACAACATTATGCACAGCTACACACACCCTGCTGGGCGCCTCTCACTGCTTGTGGCTAAATGTGCACTGCTCAGAGAACAACAGGTTAGCTTAAACATTTTAAGTGGCTAATGGTGATCTCTTCTGACAGCAGTGTGTTTTGTTATTGTTTGCTGGCGGAGGAAATGCCTTAGTGGTCTCTGCTATTCAGGTACTTCTCCACTGTGCTCCTGGTGACGAAGCTCTTGGTGCCCCTGATGTAGAAGCGGGGCCGGCTGGCTGCAGCCCAGGGGATCTTCAAGGAGGCTGTGCGCAGAGCAGGGAGGTTTCAGTCATGAAGTGCAGTTCAGAGAAGACTGAAATGAGAAAAGACAGACAGGAAAAGAAGAAAAGAACAGGCACAATGATTTCTACATTGTGCGACATAGGACAACCTTGTATGTTCATACCATATTTATTAGGAACTGAAAAAGTGTTTCAGGGAAGGAAGAGAGCATGGATTGTATATTGACCTTGAAAACTGCAACTTGAGTGTTCTTAGGGAAAACGAACAGCTGAAGGCAAGGGTTTTAAAGTACATGGAAGAAATAGTGGCACAAGAAAAGAATAGAAAAGGAAGGGTGAAAAGAGGGGGAGGGGAAAAAAGAACCTTGTCAGAGAGAGCAATGATTAGAAAGCAGAGGAGCCAGACGGGAAGAGTAAACAGCAGAAGGAGAGATGGCAAAGCTTATGTGTGTGTTTGATGTTACTGCTGCTTGGTGGCGGCCTGGCTCTCCCAGATGGAATAAAAAATTCATAGGAAGATCAAAACAACTTCCTTCTCTGAATAAAATTTGAGAATATAATTAAGCTTCTAGCCGCAATCAGCTTCATCAGCAGCACAACTTGCTCCAGAGGAAGAGCCAGAATGCCCAGCACTGGTGGCCCGCAGGGCTGTGTACATGCTGACATGAAGAACCACACCACACTGTGAGCATCCACTTCCACTTCATGGCAAAATGTACCTCGCTGTTACATCTTTAAAAAGCTGCCTTCAACCCGAGCGTGGCAATCCTGGGCTACTTGAGTTTCTTTATCAGTATTCTGCCAAGGCTGAAGGCTTTCCTTCCCAAAGTAAGTCCAGATTGTCCTCTCTGTACATCAGAACCTCAAGTAGGGCAAGATAAGGGAATAGGAATGGTTGAGTGGCCATTGTCTTAAATGATAGCAGACTGACTGAGGCGTGGTGAATTACGACAGCTGAACTGAGCATATGCTGGCCCTTGCGTTGCACAAAACAAAGCAGTGTAATGAGGTGACTCCCACCACTGCCACTGAGGTCACTGGGCTGAGGGAATTTGCCAACTTTTGTTCCCTTTTAGCCACAGATTGAAAAGGAGAAGTAGAACACTCCACCCCAGCCAAGATATATTTGCAAGTTGTTTTCTTTGCTTTGGTGGGAGACATTTTTCAGAATATGGTAGTTGCTTTCTTTGATGTTGAAGAAAAACAAATGACTTGGTGTTTGTTTAGCTGTACAGAGAATCCCTGATCTACCATGAGGGGATGCTGATAGTTGCATGACTTTAAAGGCTGACAGATGAAGTGCACTTCTTGTGACTTGCCAAGGTGCTGGCTAATAATGATGTATTCAGTAACAGTAATGAGAAGCCCTGAATAAAAGACACTGTTCAGAATCTGCACTTAGAACCCCACCCAACATCAGTACTGTGTCAAAGCAGAATCAGACATTCAAGATAAAAAATACATAGTTAAAGCTGAGATGCATTTAAAGTTGGTAGATTTAACAAGGACTCATCTTTAAATATTTGCCCCCATATTTCATTAGTTGTATGCAGGCTGGATTTATTCTGGGGTCTGTGGTTTTCAGGGATTTCTCCTGGCCACGCTGACACTTGGAGAGAAACTACTGCTGCCTCTGTGCTGCCCAGAGGTGATGTGCCGTCTGTGGGGCTGTGAGCGGCTCAGGGTGGGCTCAGGCTGCAGCTTTGGGAGGGGTCAGAGCTGCATCCAGCCTGTCTAGCCCTCGGGAAGCCCTGCTAGAGGATAAATCCCCTTGTGCTAGGGCAGAGTGATTCGTATTGCACTTCCAACCAGTAGTTCCCTGAGGCAATGGAAGGGTGAGTGATGCCATGACCACAACGGTATTCCTCAAATATGTCATCAGGTGGAGATGTTACAAAGCCAGGCTGTGTGGAAGTTGCCATTTACTGGCCGTGAGGTTGTATAGGGACTTCCAGTAAACGTTACAGTACGTAACAAAAGTATGTGCCAATTAGCAAAGAGGAATTGATTGGGCTTTGCCGTCTTCCAAGTGTGATTCCACAGCCACGGGTGCTGCAGGAATGGGGCGGTGGGACCTGCAGCGGTCGGGGCGTTCCGTGAGGAGCCGATGGCTGCCATGAGACGCACAGCTCCCCGGCCCCATCCCGAATTCCGGTTTGATTCATAGATACCCACTGCCCAGGCGGGAATTCTCCTTCCCTCCCACACCGTACCGGTGCACGGGTCGGGATTTCTGGTTAAGGTACGTGCAACGAAACCAGGCGTTTTCAACCAAGAAGGGGCTCGCGGGCAGCGGAAGCGTAAGCCAGCCCGTCTTTTGGCTTCCGAACGTGCCGTGCCCGGCCGCCATCCCCGCCCTTCCAGCTCTGCCGATCCGCAGCGCCGTCGCCGCTCTCCGCCCCGTCCCGACCCCCGCTCAGCCGCCCTCCCGCGGCCCTTACCGCCTCGGCGAGCAGCAGCCGCCCCTTACGGGAGCACAGAAATTCCCGCGGCGGCAGCAGCGAGCGCAGCCCGGGCGGCGGCTCCGCGTTGGCCGCCGGCTCCTCCATGGCTGCGGGGCGCTCGGCTGTGGGCTGCTTTTCTCTTTTTTTTGAAGGAGGGAAGCGGAAATCATGACACTGCGGAAACGTGAAAAAAAACCCCGCAACCTTTCAGCATCCCCAAATGTGCAGCGGCTGCTCCTGGAAGGGCGGGGCGGCCCCGCGCTCCCCCGGCCGGCCGCTCCCCGCCCCGCGCCGTTCCGAACAGCCGCGGCAACGCCGGGACGCGCAGGGCTCTGCCGTCGCACACCGGCACGGCCCCAGCTGCTCCTCGCACGAGGGGGCTGGCAGGGACGCAGCGCGGGTGACTGAGTGCTGGTACACGGGTCATTTTCACTTCACGTACACCAAGAACGTTAAATAATGGACTTCTTTATTAAAGACAATTATGAAATTAGTTTTCTGACACACGGGACAATTTTCTGAAGTTTAAAATGGTGAGATTGTAACGGTGAAACTGTATCTAAAATGTGAGAACGCTTAGGAATTACATTTGCAAAATACACAGGAGCTGAAAGGTGAACATATGAAAATCCATATTCTTTAACATGTGAGCAGTAAAACAATCAAGGAACTCTCTTTCTGCTACAATGGAAATCCTATTTTGCAGGAGTGTTCCTTTCCCTTGGTCTACTGATGCTAATCTTCTGGAAAAGAACAACGGCATCAACAACACAGAGAACAAGCAACACAAGACCAAGCACCTGCAAAAGTAACAATCATGCTGTTAGTTTCCTCCATCTTGTACTGCAGCGACCAGCAGCAATTCCATCTCCCTGAGCTGGCCCTAGCTTTGATATGTGTGATTCCAGAGGGCTGATAAATGACATCCATATTTAAATCCCATCAAACTGTTAAGAGAGAAGCCCACGGCCTGGCTTTGTCTGCTGTTTGTCCGAGGAGCTGGAAAGGAGGTTCCTCCTTGAAAGTGAAGCCAAACCTACATTATGCAAGGCAGCACTTTTATCCAAAATGGAAGTCCTGCTGTCTCTGTAACTACTGCCTCGCTTACTTCTGGCCCAAAGTAAAGTCAGCATTTGCAGAAACAAGCCTAGAAGGAAACAACAGCACTTCTCTTCTCAGAAGCTTTGAACTGAAAACATATTTGAGTTTGAAGAAAATGTACATAAGTATTTAAAAACACAACTTCAGGCAAACAGCTGGAACAACACCTGCACGACTGCACAGGTGACTTTTGCAGCTCTCACCTCTCACTGTGATCTCACACATTTTTTTTTAATTCAAGCATGTATTGAAACTGCAATATCTGATCAGCAATAGAAGTGCTAAAGCAAGCCTTTTGTGGACTGGGGATTTTAAGACAGATATGCCCTAGGAACACAAGCCTAAGGGCAATTCTCTTTCTTTCAACACTGAAGATGCCATACATTCTGCCCAAACCTGTTCTCCAAGCTTTCTATTTGCCTCCTGCTTTCAGCTTTAACTGCTATTCATCTCACAACTGAGAAGTGATTTCCCAGCAGTCACTTTACCACACAGTACCCTTCTTGCTTGCTTGTGGTACCAACTAAAACACCAGCTGTGCAGCTGTCTGAAGCTGATTTGAAAAACTCACGGGGCAAGTTCCCTGGGTGGTCTGTCTTTATTTTTTTGGTCCCTCATCACATTTTAGCTTTGTTTGTATTTCAGGAAACTGAAGTTTCAGAACTTTCTAAGCTGAGTTTTTCCCCTTTGTTGTGTGCTAGTCACATCAGCTTTTCCTTTAACTAATACCAATTGCTTAAGCTAGTGAACTGGTTTGATCACAAGCATATCAAAATCTTCATAGTTTGCAAAGACCATTTTCTCAGTTTGTCAAAGAAAATAATTAACATACGCTTCACAAGGGATGTACCAGCATGTATCTGATAAAGAGCTTCCATAATGTCAGTGTTTCCTCTTACATGCTGTAACTAAACATGCTCTTAATGAGCAGCGATTTCCTCTTACATGCTGTAACTAAACAGGACAGCTCTTAAAGAACGTTATCTTGTCACACCCAGAATTTCAAGCTGTGGAGGTAAGGGCAGGTTACTCAGAAGGTTTTGTAAATGAGGTAAACTAAATGTGCATCAGTTCTGTTGGTGACTTCTTGGTGTTTTCTCCCTAACAGAATTATTTTCACATTCTTATAAATATGTAACTACACCAAATCACATCTGCTTTAAGAATGAAATTAATATGTTCTGACTTACTCCTCCAGCCAGCGTCCCGTGGTTGGTTTTGATGATGACTGCAAACAAGCCCACAATTAGCAGGAACAAAGCTGCAACCACCGAGTTGAAAATATCCTGGAAAAAGGCAGCAGGGGCGAAATGCTCACTGCGGAGTGCACGGCTGGGGAGAACGCGAGCAGCTGCCGCTGCGGGACGGCAAGAAACCGCCGTTCTGCTGCGACAACAGGACCGAACTGCGAGATCCCCGTAAGAGCAGCGGTGCCATCCGGCGGGTCCGCGCCGAAAGCACTCGTGCGACTGAATTTCCTCATCGCACCTCTATTCGCTTTTTTTTTTTTTTTTTTTTTCCCCAAGTCGAATTTACGGAACTCGGCTGTATTGGCATAGACTAAAACAACGGGTACTTTAACGTAAAAAAAGAGAGGTAAGAGGAGACCCCATTAACAGCGGAGCGAAGCGCCCGCCCGCTCCCTTGGGCAGAAGAGCAGCCGCCCCACCCCGCCCCGCCGCGCCCACTCACGGCCAGAGGCCAGAAGAGCCAGGTGAGCTTCTTGTCCAGTTTCAGCAGGTACAGCAAGAAGAACAGCAGCGTGACGAGGGCTTCCATCACTGCCAGCGCCGTGTAGGCTTCGTGGGAGCGGGAGGCAACGAAGCAGACGAAGGCTGCAACCGCCACCGCCTGCGAAAGCACAAGGGACCGCTAGCCGCCTGCTGGGCCGCGGCAGAGGGGCGTGGGGCGGCCAAGGCCGCGCCTACCAGGCGGGCGAGCTTCAGGGCGCCGCGCACGGAGCGCGGGAACGCCGCGTCCGTCGCCTCCATAGCACCGCCGCGGCCGTTATCGCACCTCGGCCGGCGGGCGGCGTCCCGCCCGCCCCGCCCAGGCCAGCCCCGCGACCGGAAGCGGCGCGCCGGAGGCCGGAAGCGGGAGGCGGCCGCGGGCCCGGAGCGGCGGTGGGGATGGGCG